GGCCTCTGAGGCCAACACTGCTGATGTTTTCACGAAGGCACTTCCACCTTGTGATCATCAGCGTTTCTGCACTCAGCTGGGACTTGTCCTAGTCTTGCCTCACTTGCTCACCTCTTGACCTTACTTGTACTCTTGCATATATATATACGTGCTCTTGCTTGTTTAGACTTATATATATATGTCTCCTCCTGCATGTGAACTGACCTTGTGGCCTTGACCTTGTGCTCAGAATGTGTGGTGACGTTGTGATCCACCCTGAGCTTACTTTGCTTTGCTTTGCTTGACTGGTCTTGTGACCCCTTGTTCTCCCCCACTTTGCCTATGGGGGTGTGTCAGAACATTATAGCTTATGCTTTTGTGTAGGCTCTAATGGGGTATCCCATAGGGGGTACAACCCAATTAGGGTTAGTACTTGTACCCACTTCACTCATACTTCATCCATTCGCGTTCACTCTTTCACAGGGGTGGCACGCTGGCCTAGGGGAGCAGGAGGCAGCGCGAAGGCTGCAGGACGGCGCGCGCAGCGCAGCACATCACAAGGCAAGGCAAGTAAGCGCAGGACAACACGCGGGGTAGCGCGGTAACCACAACGGTAGGTGGGCCCGAAAAAAAAAGACGGTCCTACGGACCTAGTGCTCTGATACCATGTTAGAATCTAGCAGGGATGAATGCACTATGGAAGAGTTGGGTACAAGTATGAAACCCTAAACGAGGCTGTACCCCATATTGGCTACCCCACTACAGCCTACACACATATAACATGCATATACTTTGACACGCCACCGCACGACTTGCCGGCGTGTAGCCCCTGTCAGCATCCACCACTGGAAGACGGTTGTAGCAGAGATTGAAGGGTCAGCTGCAAGCCGGAAGCGGCTTGAAGGAGGCGGGCGCCTGGCGAAGTACCCGAACAGGAGCAATCCGTGTACAACCAGTTCTTGGCCTACCGTGCTCGCGGCTTAGCAGTCTCCTTAAAACTTCTGAAGATGTGGAGTCGCACGTCAATGAAGAACCGCCACCCACAGGTGGACTAGTGCGCATCTCCCCATTGGAACCAGCGAGTCCGAGCATGGTGGGGTCACACTGTGAGATTAAAAAACAAGATTGGCCAGCGCGCCTCACCAAAGGTATGTTGTATAAGAAGTTAGAGGCAATTCTACATACCATAGCCTTCCGCGCCTTTGCGACCATCCCTTTGTTATACGTCATTCCCGAGAAGCGTGTTCTAACTTGGAATTTTTTTTTCCTATGTGGCACACAGATTGCATGTCCAAAAGCGAGAGCTTCTGGAAATTCTGTCTCAAGCAGGTGGTCGAACACGGTATCGACCCATGGAACACAATGAACGCTGACCAGGCACCAGTTTTTCTGGAAATGCCTCACGAGCGGACACTTCACCACCGGGTTGAGAGGACCGCCCAGATTCACACGGCGGGCTACAAGAAGGAGCGGATATCGGTCATGCTGGGCGTCACCGCAGATGGGCGAAAGCTTTCGCCCATGGTGATTTTCAAACGCAAAACTATACCCAACATCCGCGTGCCTCAAGGTGACGCTATTGTATCATGATGTGCGGCAAGTGTTCAGGTTTCATGTAGAGTACAGCCTGTATATCTAATCGATATTGTTTCTTGCTTCCTTGCGTGCAGGCATGCTTATCCGACTCCAAGAACGAGGGTGGATGGTCGTCCCCCTCGTCATAGACTGGGTACAACACATATTCCTACCCTTTCTCCGCCCCACCCATGGCAGAACTCGTGGGAAGTCACTGCTGGTGCTCGACTTGTACCGCGGCCATCTCATTGAGGGGGTGCTTGGGTCCTTGCGCTGGCATAACATCGTCCCAGCTATCATCCCAGACGGCTGCACGCCCTTGTTGCAGCCTCTCAATGTCAGCGTCAACAGGTCCTTCAAGGCGGGAGCCCGGCAGGAGTACAATTCCTGGTTTGCTGAGATCGGCATCAACTCATTCATCCCTGCAGGTACCGTACCCTATATCTAAACCTCCTAGCGCACTCTTGCCTTAACACCGTACTTACAAAATCTTTTCCTTGTGCTGACAAACTCAAGAGGCCACCTACAGAGGTCATCCTGCGTTGGACCGTGGCTATTTGGGATGCGGTGCCAGATGACGTGATCGTGCGCACCTTCAAGACCACTGGCATCAGCAACATGCCTGATGGGCGCGAGGATGGTCTGGTCCTAGCGCACATGAGAGACCCTGCGCAGGTCGAGGTGCACAATGATGTCCATGCAGGGGGAGGTGTAGAAGAGTGGGTGAACCCACTCTATGCTTCCGGACCCATGGAGGATGAGGATGAGGAGGCAGATGATGAGGAGTAGATTCAGTGGTGAAGGAACTTGAGGGTGTACGGTACCTTAAGACGTGCAGGAGGTGTACGCTGTGTAGGAAGTGATAGACTAGTCTAGCTGAAGCATTAGGCAGTAGGTTGTATCTAACTGGGAGATGTGTAGTTAGGTTTTTAACCATGTGACCTGCTTAACCATATTAAAACGAGAAATTTAGTGTTGAAATTCTACATTTTGTAGAAGGGGGAGGGCCTTATAATGACTAATCCTACAACACGGGTCCTCACGAGGACTGCCAAAATAAAAGACCCTGTACCTGCATACCAGTAAACCCCCGTATATAAGACCCCCTCCAGTTGTAGACCCCAGGGTCTATAATACGGGGGGGGGGGGGGGGGTACTCTATTTGATCCGTTTTAGTTATACCCCCCTTTCTAGTGCAGTCATTATACGGTCAGACCCCCCCATCCTTAGGAAGAATGTAGCATTTGCCTTTTTTTTGTATGGAAATCGAAGCGATTTCGGAGAGAGAACAAAATTTCTCCCCTTTCGATGACTGCACGTGGGTATCGCGCAGTCAACGTGGTCAAATGATGTCCTTTTCGCCACTGCCAATGTGGTGATTTCTAATCTGTCCAGTGGCGAGAGTGATGGCACCTGGCAAAAACCTGAGGGTGGTGACATTTGCGCCTTCACGCACATTCACTGCCAAGCTGCGAAGTATAACTGCCACAAATATACACAACAAACATGAATTCATTCTATTAATGTTAAAAACAGTTACCATGTATTAAGACCCGAGTCTTATAAAATATATACCATTTAATTATGCCCCCCAACTTTTTTAGGTTCAATTACCATAATCTAGGGTCTTATATACGAGGGGTTTATGGTAAGAGCCCCGTGGGTCCTACATGAGGGGGGGGGGGGGCTTTTCACCGGGATATTACGGTATGTGGCCCAAATTCCGTATTCTCCCGGAAAAAACACCCTAGGGTATTATGAAAACCACTGGAAAAAAATGGGGGGGGTCTCCTCAAAGGAAAATCCTATATAATACCCGGGTCTTATGATATGGTATATTTTTTATAAAACAAAAAAGATGTGAAACAAAATCAGTGGTCTGAATTCACTTCAAGATTGTTGATCAATGCCGCAAAACCGAGTACGAGGATATTGTGGGCCACTTGGGCCACTTCACCTCTTGGACCACTTGCAATGGAAGATTCGCCAGCGTGGCGACAGCGAGATTTTGGGATTCACCAGCGTGGCGACAGCGAGATTGTGGGAGGGGGGATATCTCGGCTGATTCTAAGTGAAAGTACATGCGAAATTTCTTCTAGGGAGTGATTTTCGCGATATCCTCCCGTAAGGAATCGGACTCAATAACAACTATAATAGGAATTTATAAGAAAAGGGGGGTGTTATAGAGAATCACCCCAAAAAGGGGGGTATAGTACTAACGGGGTCGGATATAACACCCACCCCGTATAAGCTACCCGGGGGTGTACAATCACGGGGGGGTGTTTTATCCGGGAGAATACGGTTCTTTGATGGGTCACCTTTAATTTGCTCATCTGTCACAGATGATCACCCAGTACCACCACTCATCACAAGCTTTTGGCAAGATATAACTGATGGAGTGACGAAGTTGGTTGGAACTGATCTGACGCAATGAGGGATTTTCAGAGTAATTAGGATATGCATGTTTTTGTCGTTTGCGCAAGATATCTGATGAAATTGTTGCTTTCGGGAACAATAATTTTGAAAACATTTCGTCTTAGCTCGCATGCAACCACACAATACATCAACCGACATAATTGCCCGAAGCTCACATGGTCGGGCGAGGAAATGATGTCCTAGCTTTCTGCTTCTTCCTCCTCCCCTTGGTCCCCGTTGCCTTGTGCAAGAAGAGAATGGGCCTGGTGCTGTCCCCTGTAGCACCTGGAACATTGTCCTGTTCAATGATTGGGGGTCAGCATGCAACCATGGTAGCAGAGAGAATGAAAATGGGCCCTGGCGCTGTCCCCACCAAGGCTTTTAGCAGTCACAACAAGCCCTGGTAGCACACTTCATACTCGTTATTGCATGCCATGGATGGTGCTGCAGGGAGAAACGCACCTTCAGAGGCGAATCACTATTCACCTCTTTTCCCTTTTCCTCTGCAGCTTGCGTACTTAGCTTGAGCAACAAAGAAGGGGGAGGAGTGCAAAAGAGGGGGAGGCGAGGAGCGTGTGTGATGGAGTGGAGAGGAGTGCTGGAGAGGGAAAGGAGGGGGTCAGCGTGTCGGTTGTAAGCGGGCAGGGGAAGGTGCAGCAGGTGCAGTAGGCGGGGGAGAACAGCGTCGATGCGAGCTCGGATGGTGATGGAAGCATGGCGGTCGAGAGGGGTGCGCTGGAGGTTGATGATGACGACGTGGGCTGCCAGGCGAGGAAGCTTGCTGGCTGGTGGCACCTGGTGGGGTGAGGGGAGTCGGAATTTGAACATTCAAATCAAAGGGGTGCGCTGAAGGTTGGTGATAACGATGTGGGTGGCTAGGCGAGGGAGTTTGTTGGCTGGGGGCACCTGGTGGGGATTAGGGCAGGGAGAAAGAGAGAGGGGGCACAGTGGCATAAGCGCATGCTCGGATGGTGATGCATTCATGGCGGTCGAGAGGCGTGCGCTGGAGGTTGATGCTGACGATGATTACGATGTGGGCTGCTAGACGAGGGAGCTTGCTGGCTGGTGGCACCTGGTGGGGGAAGAGGAGTAAAGGAAGTAGGAGGATCAACAAGTGGGCTGGTCAAGGGGTGTGAGCTGAAGGCTGATGATTACCAAGTGGGTGGCCAGGCGGGGGAGCTTGCTGGCTGGTGGCACCTCGTGGGGTGAGGGGAGCAAAGCAGTTAACGGCAGGAAGAGATCTTTGGGACGTCTCAGAAGTTAAGGGAAGTGGGAGTCTTAAGGCGTGGTGGGCAAGCAAGGGGCGTGGTGGGCAAGCAAGGGACGTGGTGGGCAAGCAAGGGGCGTGGTGGGCAAGCAAGGGGCGTGGTGGGCAAGCAAGGGGCGTGGTGGGCAAGCAAGGGGCGTGGTGGGCAAGCAAGGGGCGTGGTGGGCAAGCAAGGGGCGTGGTGGGCAAGCAAGGGGCGTGGTGGGCAAGCAAGGGGCGTGGTGGGCAAGCAAGGGCGTGTGGCAGCAAGGGGCGTGGTGGGCAAGCAAGGGGCGTGGTGGGCAAGCAAGGGGCGTGGTGGGCAAGCAAGGGGCGTAGTGGGCAAGCAAGGGGCGTGGTGGGCAAGCAAGGGGCGTGGTGGGCAAGCAAGGGGCGTGGTGAACATTGATGCCGCAGATGTGGATGGCCAGGAGAGGAAGCTTTATGCTGGTGGGACCTGGTGGGTTGAGGGAAGAAACGGAGAGTGGGTGGGTGGGACCATCCGCCTGTGCTGCCCCCACGACCTCCTTCCCTGCCAGCCTTCTCATGCTCTAGTCATTTCCTATGTCCTATGCCTCTCAGCATCGTGTGTTATAGAGCAGGATTGAAGTGGCTCAAAATTGTGCCAATTTAGTCACGGACCTTGAAGGGACCGCCACCACTCAGACGGACCTTGAAGGAGGACCCAAGGCAGAGCGCCACGTGTGCGCCCATGCTTGCTTCTCTCGCCGTCCTCAGCTCCTCATCGTCTATCCTCTCCCCGAAGTGCACTATCGAATCCACCAACTCGCCCCCACACACGGCCCCACCCTCATGCCTCTCCTCCCCTCCCTCTTCTTCCCTCTCCTCCCCTCCCTTCGTCACCTCTGCTTGCTCCTCTTCCTGTGCTCCCCTGCCCTCACACACTCTTGTCACTTCTTCATTCTTCCCCCCTCCTTCCCTCTGCTGCTTCTCCTCCGTTTCTCGCCATCTCCTCACACCCTCCTCATCCTCCATCCTTGCATAATCACCCTCTTTATGATAGTCACGAACCATAGCTCGAGGAATTCCTTCAGAATCTTCTAAAGTCGCAGCTCCAGGTTCATGCCACTTCCTCCGCTCGCCCAAAAGCACCTCTTGGTTCTCCTCTTTCACATAGCCCCCTCCTCCTGTGGACATCTGAGCTGACTTCTGAGTCAACTCAAAACTCGCCTTGCCAGGTTCATGCCTCTTCCTCCCCTCACCCACCAGCACCTCTCGGTTTTCCTCTTTCACACCGCCCGCTCCTCCTGCGGACATTCGAGCCCGCACTGCTGCAGAACTTCTTGGCTTCCGAACAGGATTCTGGGCAGATTTTTGTACAGGATTCTGGACACTTGGCACTCTCCGTTGCTTCTCCTCCTCTTCTTCCTCCTCGTTCCCCTCCCTCTCGTTACACTCCTCCCTAGCAGATACATCAACAGTAGGATGTGCCGATTTAGAAGCACCAGCATCATCACCAGTGGCACATGCAGCAGCACCAGTGCCAGCAGCACTGGCACACGCAGCAGCACCAGTGCCAGCACCAGTCACAGCAGTACACAACCTTCCAGTCTTGTGGCGGTGGAAGGACGACCCTCTGGCAGCAGTGACATCAAACGGACGCACGTACCCCGCCCCACACTCACGGCAACTCTCCCGGTACACCGATCCATGCAGCTCAGATAGCCGGTGAGAGGGGATGCCACTCCGAGAATGAAGGCCGTCTACTGTTGGGGGGAAGGTGGACGGGAGGGAGTATGGGTAGATGGGAAGTGAGAGGGAGGTGAGCGGGAAAGGTACCCCACTCCACCACCCATGCAGCTCCGATAGACTGTCTGATGGGATGCCGCTTCTGGAGTGAAGGCCGTCCACTGGTGAGGAGGGGAGGTGGACGGGAGGGAGTATGGGTGGACGGGAGTGAGTGAGAGGGAAAGGCATTTCACCTCACACTCCCGGCATCTCTCGCGATACACTGATCCATGCAGCTCCGAGAGACACCTTGATGGGATGCAGCTTCTAGAGTGAAGGCCGTCCACTGGTGAGGAGGGAAGGTGGACGGGGAGGAGTATGGGTAGAGGGGAAGTGAGAGGGAGGTGAGCGGGAAAGGTACCCCACTTGACCACCCATGCAGCTCTGATAGGCAGCTTGATGTGATGCCATCTACGCGACTGAAGGCCGTCCCCAGGTGAGGAGGGGAGGTGGACGGGAGGGAGGACGGGTAGAGGGGATGTGAGAGGGAGAGATACCCCGCCCCACACTCCAAGGCACCTCTCCAACCCATGCAGCTCGAGAGTGAAGGCCGTCCACTGGTGAGGAGCAGTGTGTTGGGAGAAGGAACGGGGAGAAAGGGTTGGTAAGCAGAAGGGGAAGCAAAACGGGAATAGGCAAGAAGAGGGCACAGTTACTTGGCCCGAAGGTGACTTTTGAGTCGACTCAAAAGTCACCTCATAAGAGGGCACAGTTACTTGGCCCGAAGGTGACTTCTGAGTCGACTCAAAAGTCACCTCATAAGAGGGCACAGTTACTTGGCCCGAAGGTGACTTTTGAGTCGACTCAAAAGTCACCTCATAAGAGGGCACAGTTACTTGGCCCCAATCACCTGGCACCTCTCCCGGTACACTGATCCATGCAGCTCCGATGGAAGATTGGGGGGGAGAGGAGAGGTGACTTTTGATTTGACTCAAAAGTCAGCACGATTGGGGGAGAGAGTAGAGGTGACGGGAGGGAGAACGGATTAAGGGAAAACGAGACCTTGGGAAATCCACCCCGCGCCACTCCCCTGGCACATCTCCCAGTACAGAGACCCATGCAGCTCAGATGGACGATTGGGGGGGGGGGGGGATGTCGCTACGAGAGTAAGGTCGAGCAGTGATGAGGGGTTGAAAGGGTGTTTGGGAGAGGTATGGTTGAGGGGAAGTGAGAGGTGAGCGGGAGAAAAGTGATAAGTGAGAGGGAAGTGACTGAAAAGGTAAGAAGAAGCGAGAGAAAGTGAGAGGGAAGTGAGTGAAAAGTGAGAGAAAAGTGAGAGGGAAGTGAGAGAGAAGTGAGAGGAAAAGGTAACCACCCCACCATCCTGACATCTCTCCGAGTACCATTTCCATGAGAGGGAAATGAGAGGGAAGTGGGATTCATTGCATTTCAGATAGGCAGCGAGGGAGGGGCATGCCACTTGGCGAGTGAAAGCCATTGTGGTGCACTTGCACTATCCCAGCTTGTGACATCACTGCCCCTGCAACCATCTCTGTATTAACACGCTGGCTTTTGAGACGACACAGAAGTCAGCTTGTGATACCTCTGCGCCTCCAACCACCCCTGCAATAACACACCTCCCAGCCACGCCTATTGCCAACCCACCGTTCTGAGTCATCGACGCCACCGCTTCTCACCACCACTGCTGCCACCCCAGCTTGCAAGAGCATAGCCAGAATAGCTTTCCCAACTCAACCCACCGTTTTAAGCCGCCGCGTGTTGCACTATCCCAGCCCGTGTTGCACTATCCCAGCGCGTGTTGCACTATCCCAGCCCGTGTTGCACTATCCCAGCCCGTGTTGCACTATCCCAGCCCGCACCATCGCTGCCAGCGCAGCAACTTCTCAACCGATTGTCTCAGCACAAATAATACAGTGTGTGGTAGTCCCATCCCAACTCACCATTCTGAGTGACCACGTGTTGCATCATCCCACCCCGCAACATCGTTGCCACTGCAACCACCCTGCAACAGCACCTACCTATTATCTATCTGCACCCACCCTTCTGTTGCACCCACCGTTCTGGGTCACCACGTGCTGCACTACCCCAGCCCCCCACCACCATCGCTACCCTTACGACCACCCACCAACACCCTGTAGCTTTTTATTTGCACCCACCATTCTGAGTCACCACGTGCTGCACTATCCCAGCCCGCACCATCGCTGCCACTGCCATGTGCCCTAGCGGCTGCCAGCCCAGGTAGTTGTACAGATAAGCCATTGTAACTTTCCCACCTAGCCTTACCGTTCTGAGTCACCACATGCTGCACTATCCCAGCTCGCACCAACGCTGCCACAGCCATGTGCCCCACCGTGGGGGAAGCTTCCTCGTACTTCCTCCCCATGGCTGCCGCAGCTTCCTCCCACCTTCCCTCCCCCTGCAGCGTCCACACACCCTTGGGCCCTCTGAAGTCTGGTATGCCTGCTGCTGTGCTCAGCCCCGCCCCACTGTGAACCACCAGCCCCCCTCTCCCTGTCCCCAGTCCCCCTCCTCTCACTCTTACTGCCCCTGCTGCTGCTGCGACTGCGGCTGCTTCTGCTACTGCTGCAGCATCTGTTGCTGTCCCTGCTGCTGCTGTTTGGCTGTTGCCCCCCGCTTTTCCAAACCGCCGGCATTCCAGCACCAGCTGCAGCAGCTGCTGAATCTTCGCCTCTACTTGCTCGGGTGGGTCCTCGTCCTGTGGAGCAAGCAGAGAGGGAATGGGGGTGGGCGGTGAGGGGCAAGGAGAGTGAAGCACCTGAAAAATCCTGCTGAATCTTCGCCTCTACTTGCTCGGGTCGGGTGGGTCCTCGTCCTGTGGGCAAGCGGAGGGGGGGAGAGGGAAAGGGAGAAGGGGTGTGAGCAGCAAGGGAGCGGGTTGAGGCGACTGAAAGATCTGCTGGGCCCTCAAGACGTTGCTGGGCATCAGCAGCCCCTTGTGCGAATCTCCGGCTGCTCATCCCCGGAAAGCAAGACTTTTATCTCCAGCACCAGCTGCAGCAGCTTTTGAGGCGCCTCAAAAGACTTTTATCGCCAGCACCAGCTGCAGCAGCTTTTGAGGCGCCTCAAAAGACTTTTATCGCCAGCACCAGCTGCACTTTTGAGGCGCCTCAAAAGACTTTTATCGCCAGCACCAGCTGCAGCAGCTTTTGAGGCGCCTCAAAAGACTTTTATCTCCAGCACCAGCTGCAGCAGCTGCTGAAGCTTCACGTCTACTTGCTCTGGTGGGTCCTCCTAATGCAGAACCACGGGAGTGGGGGGGAGTGAGGGGGGAATGGGGTGAGAGGAGAGGGGGAAGGAGGGCGGGCGATTGCGGAGGGGACTAGGGGCGATTGCGGAGGGGACTAGGGGCGATTGCGGAGGGGACTAGGGGCGATTGCGGAGGGGACTAGGGGTGAGGCGCCTCAGAAGTCCGCTGAATCTTCCCCTCTTATTGCTCCAAGGGTCCTTCTCCTGTGGGGATGGGGCAGCGGGGGAGGGGGTTGGCGGAAGAGGAAGGTGAGCGTGGGTTGGGTGGGGCGAGGCGAGGGTGAGGGTTTGGTGCATCAAGAGAGCTACACCCTTCTCTTGCCTCCTTTGAGATGGCAAGAGACTCTCTTGCTCCGGGCGATCCTCCTGCTATGGGGATGGCGCAACGGGGAATGGCCCGGATGGGGGGGAGCCCGACAGGTGAAGGGGGGTAGAGAGGGTGGGGAGTGGAGGGGAGAGAGGGTGCTGATGGGGGTAAGTGCGGCGGACGAATCTTGAGTCGACTCAAAAGTGGGGGGTGGAGGGGAGAGAGGGTGCTGATGGGGGTAAGTGCGGCGGACGAATCTTGAGTCGACTCAAAAGTGGGGGGTGGAGGGGAGAGAGGGTGCTGATGGGGGTAAGTGCGGCGGACGAATCTTGAGTCGACTCAAAAGTGGGGGGTGAAGGGGAGAGAGGGTGCTGATGGGGGTAAGTGCGGCGGACGAATCTTGAGTCGACTCAAAAGTGGGGGGTGGAGGGGAGAGAGGGTGCTGATGGGGGTAAGTGCGGCGGACGAATCTTGAGTCGACTCAAAAGTGGGGGGTGGAGGGGAGAGAGGGTGCTGATGGGGGTAAGTGCGGCGGACGAATCTTGAGTCGACTCAAAAGTGGGGGGTGGAGGGGAGAGAGGGCCGATGGGGGAAAGCGGGGCGGGCGGGGGCCTAAGTGGCAGTACGGTGAGCCAACGGCGCAACCACCACCGCCCACGCGTATCCTGCAGCTCTTCCCCATCGACCATTGCTTGTAACGCGATGTCATATTCGTGAGTATACACGCATGCGTTGAGATGGCCCAGAGCAAGTTGCCCAACTTGAAAAAAAAAAAAAGAATCAGATGTGACATTTTGCTCGCGGACGGAAGGGGAGAAACCAACCTCTTTTGAGAATTCTCAAAAGCGATTCTCAAAAGAGAATTCTCAAGCGGACGGAAAGGGAGAAACCAACCTCTTGCAGTCGCTCTTTCTTCTGCTGCTGCCGTTCCTTCGCTTTCTCCAATGACCGAGAGATCTGCAAAACACATAACAAGAAGGTGGTTATTATTCCGCTTTGAGTCAACTCTCAAACATTCTCTCTAAAAGAGATCTGAAACATTCTCCGCTTTGAGAAAGATCTGAAAAGAGAAGGCAGCCTCCCACGCACCCACCCACGAAACAGCAACCTCGCATTGCTGGTGACACGTGTCAAATGCTCGTCACATTGCTGAGGACACGTGACACGAGGCTTCCAATGAAACGAAGTTCATGTAGCAACGGTCACTGGGAGGGCAACAGTCACCAGGAGACATGCGAGGCTACGGGAAACTATCAACCTCGCATGCAGATCAACCATAGGCAACTTTGAAGACAAAGAGAGAGCAGCATGCGGAGCACGGGCCACTTGACGGGCTTTCAACCGTGAGAGGGTGTGACACGACGTGCGACGCCATGCGACCGTCTCACCTCGCGTGCGATGCGGCTGTTGGCTTCCAGCAGGCGACTCTCCTCGTCGCTCCTCGCGCTCTCCGCCTTACCCAGCGCCGCGCGCACCGCCTTCCGCACCCGCCGCTCCTCCGCTTCCGCTACCGACTTCGCCGCCCATTCCCGCTTCCGCTTCTCGCGCTCGCTCTCCATTGCCGGTTAAAAGTCCGCTCGCAACTGGCTAGCAGTCGGTTAGCAGTCGGTAACAGCCGGTTACCAGTCGATTGACAATGATAGGTTGGCAGTGGGACGGTACTTCTTTACCTAATCGAAGGAACGGGCGAGTCAAAGGAGCGGTCCGTCTACACAGAACTAACTGACAGAGTGTTTCGAGATCGAAAAAATTTTACGCGCCGCGATGCGCGGAACAATCGCGGCAAGGCAGTGTGCGTGCGAGCGAGGGAGAGGTGAAACAGAGGTAACTTCGCCAGCACCGCACGGACAATCACGTTGAAACCCGAAAGAAACACGAACTCTACGTTATGGAGTGGAGAAGGAGAAGGAGCCGACCCCCTGGTTCTACTCCCAATAGCACATGTGCGATGACGCGTTCGCTGCTCACTTCGTATCTTGCCGTTGGCGCGTTTGTGC